TTGTCTTAGTGCAACCGCCTTTAATCTCGATGGCTCCTTTAAAGCTATATCAATTCTTACACCCATTTGCAAAGAAGATATGCTCTAGACTTTTGACCTTTTGTAGTTCCTGTTGAGTTCCTAAGAAGGCCTAAAAGGTTAATGTCCCTGTAATTTGCTGAAAATTACAAGCTTTGTCAATATGTTTTAAAAGTCAAATACTTAAGAAAACGTTATCACAAGGTTGTCAACTTCGAATTCCAAACTATATGCGGAGGATAACAAAAGCGCAATGGCATTAATTTTAGATCATGCTTAGATCATCCTGATACGCTAATGTGATGTGCAAGAAACATGAACCTCGTTACGAAACAAAAGTTAACTGCCACTGAGGAAAAGGAAGTGTAATCCGGACTTCGGTGATCCTTATCACCTTATCCCGTTTTTGATACTGCCATTAGGGCATGCCATCATCATATCCTTCTACTCTTGCCAAGGGAGTGTAGGCCAAACCAAAACTTACTGTACAAAGAAACGTCTATCACCTGGCGTAGTTTGCCAAGAATAGAGAAGTCCAAGGTAGCTACAATGTTGACAATAACACCTGGAGCAAAAATCGGCATTTCGGTCCTGCAAATGCACACCGATTTTGAAAGGAACACCAAAACCAACAACCGATATTTTGGGAAGTTAGTCCAAAGGAACTATGAGCTGCAAAATATTTTCCTAAATAGGATGGGAACAATACTGCCTAGAGATGAAAAAAGAACTATAAGTCTTGATAACTATTTGAGAACTTTGATGAAAATTGGAGGTATTCTGATGCAATGATATATTCAAAAATTAGAAGGATAAAAGTATTCTCTGAAAATCAAAATAGGAGCCTAAAGCACATGATTTCCGAGAAAAAGCTCTAAGGCTTACATTGTCACCCGAAGTGTAGTGTTTCATATACCTTTTAATAATACTTTAGCAAATAACTTGTGCTTGAAATTGGGCATGCTCAGCGGTGTGTAAACTCTGATCTCCAACATTCCCGCTGCTGCCTTTGTTAGTTCCTCCGTCCAGGCGAGGCTACACACATAATCCCCTGATGCGATTGCGGTGTAGTAAGTCAACATGCCCTGGGTGCGACCGAAGGTAATTTCCACATAGTTGTGACCACACAACTACTGTTCTCCCATTACGATTAGCCCGTTTACATGAGGGCATTCATCATGCCTTATCGTATTACGGGGTACATTGATAGGGGCTATGCTAGTTCAGTTTACACTTTCTTCACCCAGGACGCAGATAACGTGCGTCTTGACAAGGGATTCGTGTTTCCTCTTCGTTTGAGAGAAGATGTTTTCAAATAGCTGAGAATTATATATACATCCTTTCGGGCATTGTCTGTGACGCTCAACTTTGAATGGTCTTTACGTATACCACTTGTATTGGCTTTCCTTCTTTCCTTAGTGTCTTAATTATTTCCTTGCATATTTTTGGACGTGTTAGTAAAGAGGGTGACTGGATAAGTGCAAAGCTGTGTGGTGCATATAATGTAGTTTTTTAGTGAGATGACTTTTATCACTCTCAATGCATCTCTGCTCAAGAGATGGTGGAATTCGCGTTGCACTTTTAATGGAAAGATGGGCTCTTACAGCTGCATTTGGTTCCCTTTATTGTAGTCCTTACTATGAACATGCTTGTCATAATATCGCTTATGCC